ATGGCGGCGAGCTGAAGTGATTCGCAACAGACGAGCTCGCTCGGGGACCAGCCATGCATGTAACGCCTGATCAGCTCGTCCTTGTGACGACCTGACCTTTGAGTACCACCGAAGTGCAACCAGAAGACGCGACCTCACATTCAGTGCGACTTGAGTTTTTTGACCACCACTTTATCATCCCGCACGAGTGGTGCTGTCAAATAGGGCGACCTGAGGCATCCATTGATTTACGCAAAAGTTTGTGGCCTGTGTGAGCTGCAATCCGTGTACCGAGCTGACAAATGTGGTTGTCGCCACGATATGTGACGAGCTGAATCTAGGGGAATTTTAGCAAAAGATCCACACTTTTGAACGAATTGTCACGGTTGAGCCGGTCTGGCACAATGTCATGTTTGTAACGACCTGGTAAGTGTGCTCGCAATGGCGAGCTGATGTGACAGTATAGGGTACACATCAGCAGTGACGATCTGAATCTTGGGATTTTTTGAATCAAGCAAATCTCTGAGGAGATACGATTGAACTTCCCATATCTCTCTACCTTCCCCGTCATAAATACTGGCTCGGCATTTGAGGGACGTGATAGCTAAAGCCAGCGCACGCTATGCAGAAGGGGCGTTAAGCGCATGCCACGTGTGGGACGCTAGTTGGCGCGTCAGAAACACGCGTATGGCAATTAACGCTACCATATCCTTCTGTGCGTAACCGTTCCCCCTTTTCATTTTCATTTCTGTATTTGCTTAAACTTTCTAAAATTCTCTGAAGCGAAACGCTCCAGCTTGAAGAACAGCACACCGAATCGACTTCACATCAGTTTCAGGTAAAAATGGTTTCATTGAGAGAACTCACAGAGCAACGAGGTAACCAGGGCAGAGAGGGAGAAGAGGAAGGGGTTTTGTCCGTGGAGCCTATCACTATGATAGTGCCGCCGGAGTTGCAGGATGTACTGGAAACAACGACGTCTGAGAGCAGCGCCAGTTCCAGCGCCAGCGACAATGGTGACAACCACCCTAGTGCGTCGTCAAGCAGCTCGTCTACTGAAGAGACACCCAGCCGCGAAGAAGGGATGGGGGATGTGGTGAGCAGTGTCTCAGATCGGCCGGTGATTGGGGAATGGGAAGGCGCGACGATCCCAGGCAGGTTGAGCAACCTGCGAAAAGCACCGAAGGACCTGCCCACTGGATTCAGGTTCAGGGCTGCACTTCATCACGAAGTAGCAGATTGTGCGCCCTCCATAAGCGGATATAAAAGACTCGAGGAGATGGTGAGGGCGTACCACATCCCTAAAACTCTACTGTTGCGGACTGGCGGGCAGAACGAAAGGGCGTGCACAATGTCGCAAACGGGCTGGATCCCCGTGTATGTGGACCACTTTGACGCCAGCCTGCGGTTTCCCCTGCCCGGATTGGTGTTCGACCTGCTGGCGGACTACGAGCTGGCGCTGACGCAGCTGACGCCCAACAGCATAAGGTTCATTATTGGCTTTATGCTGTTGTGTGAGCGATTAGAGGTACCGGCCAAGGCGATCGTGTTCAGGTCGCTGTTTCAATGCCGGCTGTGTCCCAACTCCCGAGGCGCGAAGTGGTACTACCTCTCCGGGAGAGACAAAAGCCAACTGTTCAAGAATGTCCGGAATAAAGTAGCGAGGTGGAAGAGCTAATTCGTATTTGTTCGCGACACGCGAACAGAGAGGATAAGCAATGACCTCGCTGCCCGGCTATCAGAATGGCGCACGCCAAACGCCCATATCAATTACCCCCAGTTGCTGCCCCGGGATGTCGATCTGAAGAACCAGCTGCTTGAGTATGCGCAGAGGGAGAGTCTGATAGATCTAGAAGCCCTGGTTACCTCGGAGCAGCTCGTCGTGTTCGGGTTTGTCGATGTGGCAAACCTGTTCGTAGAAGGTATACCTTTATTAGATAGTACTAATTCTAGCCGGGCTGAGTCTTATGCGTTTGTTTGTGCAGGAGAAATGAGTAGCATCTTAGAACGCCAACGTCAGCGAGCCCAGAGCTCACGAGGTCGCGGGCCGGGCAGCACCTCACAAAGACAAACACGGTTCGACGAGCGACCGCTAGCCGCGCCTCAATCGCGCAGCTCGTCCCAGCGAGGGTCTAGCTCGACGTCCAGGCCGCGAGCAGAGAATAGGGTTGAGGTGGCAGCTCCCAGTGCACGTAGGTGTGCACGTGAGGAGACGGAGGGCGACGAGGATGAGGTCCCCCTTGCTCGACGCAGAACGAGCGGGGGGACTCAGCCAACGCAGGTGGTTCGACCTGCAGCTTCTAACGCGCCAGTAACAACTGCGCGGGCGGCGGCCGAGCCTGCTTTTACATCGGCCTCAGTGTCGGGCCCCAGGATCGCCTATCCTGAGGGCTTCAGCTATATAAGGGCGGAGTGCCAGCCTGCCATGGTGCAAGGCATGCACAGCTTTGTGCCCCCCATGGACAGTAAGCGAGCCAAAGCTTTCGTACAGCAGCATAGCGGCCAGGTCGCCATGATAAAGCTGATGGATGTAAGTATCTGCTCGTTCCCGCTTGAATGTTTTGTTTTTTCTTTTTAGAGACTAACGGTAACCACTGTTTGGCAGGCGTTCAGCTACGCAGTCGCGCTGTACGAGAGCGAGCAGGGAGCTCGTATACAGAACAGCGAGCTCAGCGCAAACTGCAAACAGCTGGCTGCAGAGAAGGCTGGCCTCGTGGACGACGTCAACCGTCTACAAGGCTCTAAAATGGCCAACCGCACAGCCACAGCGGAGAGCCGAGCCGAAGAGCTCGCAAATAAGATCAATGAGCTCAAGGAGGAGCTGGAGCGAGCCCGTGCTGAGAAGGAAAGCGGGATTCAAGCGGCGAAGGATGAGGCCGCCCGAGTCGAAGAGCGAGCAAAGAGAGCTGAGGACGAGAGGGACCGTGCTCAGACCGAGCTGGGTTCGCTGAGGTTCCAGGTCGCTGAGGCCGACAAGAACCTCAGCGCCACCGAGGAGGCGCTGAACGAATTGAAGGCATCTCATGCGCGCTCTGTTGGTATTGCCCGAGCTCAAGGAGTAGAGTGGCTGGTCGGCTCGTCAACATTCCAAGACGCAGTGGCGGTGGCATCTGCTAACATGACCATGGAGATCTACAACGAGATTCGTGGGAAGGTGCTGCACCACCGCCCAGATTTTCCAATCCGCGAGCTGGTCTTCTTTGACGAGGAGGAGCTTGACGAGCAAGGTAAGAGCCTTGCTCCCCTCGCTGACACAACTGTGAGGCTGAGATGGGACTTAAATGAGGAGGGCGTGCCTGTCTGGCCACCGTTCGTGCTGGAGGACGGCGAGAATCCAATAGGACTGCCCTCATTCGATGCATGGGTAGAGGTGCTCCTATAGCTGAGCAGGAGCCTTCAAGCACCCCGTCGAACTCTCAGCCCGCCGTGGTGTCAGCTAGCTCACCTGTCAGCGCGCCAGCCTCTGAGCCCGCAGCCCGGTCTCCGCCAGCTCGCTCCCCTGCAACTGCTGCTAACGCATCCATGCCCGTCGATCTGACGGATGACTAGATTTAGGGTTTTTCCTTTTGATTTTTTTGTACTTCGTTTTTGTATTTTTGTATTTGATCAATGGATTCATATCATGTGTACCCTTAATGTAAACATCTTTGATGAAATACAAAAATGAGTTTTTCTTTGAATTTTGTTGTATTTTCGGTGTATCACTGTTTACAACTGTCGAATAACAACTGGAATAAAAGAATAGTATACAAATTAACTGTAAAATTTTCTAAGATTCTGTATATTCCAAATGTAAGGCAACTGACGTCCCTGCATATCTGCTAACGTATAAGAACCAGGTCGCTTAACTTGATCAATCATATAAAGGGCCTTCCCAATTAGGAGCGAGCTTGCCCATGTGCGAATGGGTGTTAGTTAACCCAGCTTTGCGTAGGACCAGGTCGCCGACTTGAAACTGGCGAGCTCGAACTCTTTTATTGTAAAATTTTGCAACACGACTTTGATGTGCCATGTTCCTTATTCGGGACATCTCCCTAATTTCTTCCACAAGGTCTAGGTTTTCTCTTAAGAGCTGTTCATTATTCTGATCGTCATGACGATCTGATCTATCGGATGGCAATCCGACCTCGACGGGGATAACAGCCTCGGCTCCGTATGCCAGACTGAACGGGGTTTCGCCTGTGGCCGAGCTGGGTGTAGTGCGACATGACCACAGCACTTTATTGAGCTCGTCAACCCAATTAGAATGCGCAGCCAAAACGCGTGTCTTAAGGCCTCGCAAGACGATTTTATTGGCGGACTCAGCTTGCCCGTTGGACTATGGAGTATACACGGACGTCAAGGCGAGCTCAATGCCATAGTCGTTACAAAACGATCTCAGTGCTGCTGCCCGGAACTGTGGCCCATTGTCAGCGATAATTCGCTTAGGTATGCCGAACCTACACACAGATGAGCAAGCTGAGCTACAAATCACGTTTGCATATTTTTTATTTATGACCTCAATCACCAAAGAATACCTGCACAATATTGAATTGAACAAGAATTCTTCTATTTTCCTTTTTGTTGTCGTGGACAGCGGTTTAGCTTCTATCCACTTAGTGAAGTAATCCACTGCAACGACCAGGAAAGTGCAGCCTCCTTTGCCTTTGATAAAAGGGCCGAGCAGGTCGACACCCCATTGAGCAAAGGGCCAGGGAGACGCAATAGATGATAGCATTTCCCCTGGCATGTGTATATCATCAGCATTGAACTGGCAGGTCGGACATTTTTTGACATAGTTTTGCGCGTCCTCGACCATAGTGGGCCAGTAATAACCATGCCTCAGGAGCTTTCAAGCTAAAGTTTTGCCACCGATGTGCGTGCCACATACTCCTTAGTGAACTTCTCTCACAGCGTATTCAGCTTCGTAAGGAGTAAGGCAGCGTAATAGGGGCATTAAGGCTGCTCGTTTGTAGAGCTGGTTGTCTAACAAAGTGAAATGTGTTGCCTTTCGTTTAACCAATTTCGCAGCGGACAGATCTTCAGGTAGCTCGCCACTTATAATTTATGAGTGGGGTAGTCCAGCTCGGCGTGGAGGGATTTGTGCTTAATAGCTGACACTCGACCGTGAAATCAGTGTAGCTCGGAGCGTCCAGCACTTCGACGATGGTTGACCTCTGAGGGTTAAAGTCCCGCGGGGAGGCCAACTTTGACAGCTCGTCAGCTCGGTGGTTGTCAGCTCTTGGTATTTTGTCGATCTAAAATGAAGCAAATCTTGACTTCAATCTGTTGACCACAGAGGTGTAACAGCCAAGCTGGGGATCCCTAACTTCACAGCTGCCATTTACCTGGCCTACCACGAGCTGAGAATCACTGAAAACTTGTATGCTCTGTACCTTCAGCTCGGACGCCAGTTTCAAACCATAGATGAGGGCTTCATACTCAGCAGCATTATTAGTGGTCTGGAACTTAAACCGCAATGCATGCTCAGATTTAAAGCCATCTGGGCCTATCAACACAGCCCCAGCACCTGACCCTTCAATGTTAGCAGCTCCATCAACATACAGAACCCAGGCTGGGTAATCAAGCGCCTTGTCTACCTCTATCACCGAGATGCATTCTACCAGAAAGTCTGCAATGGCCTGGCCTTTTATGGTTGTGCGTGGCTGAAACTTCAGGTCATATTCACTCAGCTCGACGCTCCATCCAATAAGCCGACCAGAGAGTTCAGGTTTCTGCAATATTTTTCTCAATGGTAGATCGGTATAGACAACAATCTGATGAGACTGAAAATAGGCTCTTAGCTTACGAGCCGTGCAGACCAAAGCAAAAGCAGCCTTTTCTGCTAGTGGGTAGTTCTGCTCGGCACCTTGTAATACCTTGCTCACATAGCAGATAGGCTTCTGTCTCTTATTCTCTTCCCTCAATAGGACTGAACTCACTGCCTCTTCTGTGACCCCCAGATACAAATATAAACATTCCCCATCGACAGGCTTGGACAGCAGGGGTGCGGATGCCAAATACTGTTTGAGCTCGTCAAACGCCTGTTGACACTCATCAGTCCATTGAAAGTTTTTAGGCTCCCACAGAGCTTTGAAGAAAGGAAGGCACCTTTCTGCCGATCTGGCTATAAACCTGTGCAACGCAGCCACCCGACCTGTCAGACGTTGTACATCTTTTACTGTCTTGGGGGGTTCCATCTGCTGAACGGCCTGCACCTTCTCTGGATTTACTTCAATTCCTTTCTTGGATATCACGTACCCTAGGAATTTCCCGGATTCCACAGAAAACGTGCACTTCAAGGGATTCAGCTTCATTTGTGCTCGGCGCAAGTTTTGAAAAGTTTCATCCAGGTCGCCTATGTGATCCTCAGCTCGCACACTGGTGACTATCATGTCATCCACATATACTTCTATGTTTCTGCCGATCTGGAGCTTAAAGATGATTTGCACCAGCTTTTGGTATGTTGCTCCAGCATTTTTGAGGCCAAACGGCATCATGACGTAGCAGTAGATTGCATCACCAGCGTAAAAAGCTGTTTTCTCCTGGTCGTCTAGCAACAACTGGACCTGATGATAACCCGAACTGGCATCAAGGAAGCTCATCCGTTCGTGTCCTACTGCCCGCTCTACTAACTTCTCGACATTTGGCAAGGGATGAGGGTCTTTTGGGCATGCATCATTGAGGTTGGTGAAGTCAATACACATCCTCCATTTGCCATTTGGTTTTTTGACGAGCACAGGGTTGGACACCCATTCAGAGTACTCCACTCTTCTGATGAAGCCTGCCTGTAGCAACTTTTGTATCTCTTCGTCTATGGCAGCTTGCTTCTTCGAGCCGAAAAGGCGACGTTTCTGTACCATCGGCCTTCTAGTGGGATCCGTGCTTAGCTTGTGGACTGTCAACTCTGCGGGGATGCCCGGCATTTCATCCGTAGTCCACGCAAACACGTCTTGATTGTCCCTCAAAAACTTCAGAAGCTCTGCCCGTTCCTCCTCTATGAGTTTGGTGCCGATCTTAACCGTTCGTTCTGGCACATCAAGGTTCAGAGGGACCGTTTCTACCGGCTCCACTAGTTCTGCTTTCTGCTCGACACCCTCAGGTCGGTGTTCAATGTCCGAAATGCTCATTGTCTGCTGAGCGAGCTGGGTTGGTTTGTGATTTTCAGAACCTGTAGGAGCAGCAGCGAGCTCAACCTTCTTGAAGGTATCTTGGTAGCATGTTCTTGCCATCTTCTGGTTCCCTTTAAGCACTCCTACCCCCTGAGGAGTTGGGAATTTCATGCAGAGATGAGGTTGTGAGATGACAGCCTTCAGCTCGCAAAGGGTAGCTCGTCCCAGTATAGCGTTGAAAGCTGACTCCATCTTGACGACCAGGAAGGTAACGGAAGCCATCCTAAACCGTGGCTCCGAGCCCACATAGATGGGTAGGGTAATGATTCCTTCAACCGGGACGGGCTGATTGTCGAACCCATATATAGGCCCTTCATATTTCTGCAGTGAATTTGGATTCAGCTGCATTTTCTGAAAGCAACTCCAATACAGGATATCCAGCGAGCTACCCGTATCAACAAAGACTTTGTTGACATTATGATTGCCTATTTGAACCGTTGCCACAAAAGGGTTTGCATGCGGCATCATAACGTCGGGCTCTCCTTCTGCTCGCTTATAGTCTGCCGGGCTGAATGTGATGGGCGCATTTTCCCATTCTGCTTCTTCAAACGGGCGTTTCAAAGGTCTGTTTTTGTTAACTGTCATCACCTGGCGCGCATACGTCTTACGACCTCGGGCGCTTTGGCCCCCAGAGTGAACACCACCCAATATCATGTTTATGGTACCATAAGGTGGGGGTATCCCAGCATAACCTACCCTTTTCCTGTCTTTTTGATTCGGGGCGGTAGTTCTCGGTCCCTGTCCTCTCCTGTTGAAAGGACGTCCTCAGTATGCTCTGCCCTGTTCAAAAGGATATTGGTTATCCTGATATGCATCCTGCGTCCCACCATGCTGGTACCTCTGTCCTTGAGGTCGGTCGTACGCCTGTACAAAATGGGTTTGAGTGGGTTGCTGGGTGTGAGGCTTCTAAACATACCCTTCTAGCTTCCCGTTACGAGCCAAAAACTCTAACTCGTCCTTCTAGTGTTGGCAGTCCTCTGTATTGTGACCATATATACGGTGGTAGTCACAATGCTTGCTCTTATCTGCCCTCGGGGAATCATGTAGTGGGGGTGGAGGTCTCCTAACCCAGTGCTGAATTTGTGCCAGGATTTGAGACCT